TATTATAATTCCTCTTATAAATATTTGAATACTTTAAAACCTTACACTATACGATGAGTTCAGAGAAGATAAAAAAATACGAGATCGCAGAAAAATATCATGTCACGGATCGTCAGGCGTTGGTCTCGATGCAATTGTTCCACACCGATGAGTGCTACAGAACTACTTGTCTATCATCAGCGGGTTCAATTGCATCGCGACCAACGTCCGACGATCCGTGATATGATATTTATCATATAATATATTATCATATATGTTTATCTCGTATTTTTGGATCTTCTCTGAACTCGTCGTATAGTGTAGTAAGGTTTTATAGTATTTAAATATTTAGGAGAGGAATTATAATAAAGTTATTAGTGAAAATGTAAAAACCCTAGAACTGAATGGCGGCCACCCCTAACCTAACCTAACCTAACCTAACCTATAATAGGCAGGCAGGTAGTATATATGTCAATATGACACGAGTCTTAAAATATATATATGTACATTTATACATTATACGCGTATTTGCAGATATATTGTCGTTATTCGTTTTTTACATCATAATAATATAATGTCTTCATTCGTCGCCCTCACGTCTACACGCACATTGTGTATATTACAATAATTATGTGTTAAACGACGTCTGCGTCACTTCTGTTGCTGAAGCTGCAGTTATCGCTTTAACATAATATATTATTATTATACAGTCACTTTTTTCAGAATACAACATATAACGGTGCATATAATGTGCAGTATGCACTATGCAGGTGTGCCTTTGTATTTTGTCCACCATGTACATTTTTTAAAAATGTTTTCACCTATACTCCAGCACATTCCACACTCTGCACGTTTTGAATTCAGCTATTATATTTACACATATTTGTATGTAAGTATAATAAGCGTATAATATTTTTTTATCGTCATATACACTCGTCCCACCCACTATAGATACCCCATTATACAGTAAAACTGCAGTTTGGGTTTTCTTTCAAATCTATTTATATAATACGAGTATTATGCAAAGTGCTGATCACTTTTGTATAGCAGTGGGTAGCAGTGCCGGATCCAAGGGAGAGGGAATAGGGTAAATACCCCCCCCCCCATTTATTACATTGTGACTTGTGAGAAATACTAGTTTTAAAATAAAATGCAAATTAAAATTAAAAAAAAAAGAAAGTAAGTCAATTAAAAAAAAAACCATATATTATATACTTTATATATCTGTGAAAAAACATAAGTATACATTTAAAAAAAATAAAACGAATTTGTGTTGCATTGATTGCCAGATTGGTTGAATTGCACTTTATCTTTGTAACTGGTAATTACTGGAAATAATGTTTTATTTTAAAAAAGTCGACTTACATATTTTTATAATTCACTGTTTTGATACTTACGTGTTTTTTGTATGTGAATGTAATTATATGTGTTATGTTTTTTGTAATTTATAAATATTAGTTTTTCTCGTCGTGATTGTCGATTGATGTGTGAACTTTCTTCAAGAACGATTGTCATATTTTCATTTTCAAGACTCTTAAATAATTTTTCAGAACATTTTCTTCAAGTACAACGGCGACGAATTATGAGCATTAGAGTAAGAGAAAGAACTAAGACATATCTTAGTTCACGCGTAAGAGTAATCGAGTAATCAAAAATTGCCTTCTATGTTAATACATTTTCTATCATGAACTAATGAATATAAAACAGAGCTATGTCAAGCAATTCAGCAACCCGGGGCAAAATTTTTTCGCGCAACTTCCCTACAATTTAACTGCAAATCGTTTTCTTTTTATATAAATCTCCATATTACCACACACCACGAAAACTAACTAAAATATAATATACAATATTTAATATAAATAATTATTTATTTATTTTAATTAAAAAATAAAAATATTGATAACAAATTAATCATTAACATAATTAATACCACAAAAATACCAAAGTCAGTTAGTACTTAGTAACGGACAACGGTTAGAACTTTGATTGACACGGGCAAGACATTTGAGAATGGAGATTTTCAGTCGCAGCCCGCAGACCGCAGTCTTGTTAATCATTATTCATTATCATAAATATTTAAAAATAAACAATAACGGCTGACCATGACAATAATAATAATAATATGTTACTTGAAAATAAAACGTATTTTTATAGTATAATTTATTATACTAATAATATCACGAATATCAATTTTTAAATATTTAGTTTTAGTCGGCGCAATACAACTTCTAAATACGGAGAAATGGGTTTTTCTTTATCACCGGCCGTCGAGCGTCGCCGAGCCAATCTATTTGGCACAGATTACCATATTATTATATATGATTCTAAAATAGACCTTAAAATACTAAAATATATAATATAGTAATAAAATTGTAACATATTTGGTTTTCGAAGCCACTGGTAGCATATTAAAAGCAAATAAAGGTGCCCCCTTACTTTTACAAAACTACGGCACCCGGGGGAAATTGCCCCTTGTCCCCCCCCCTTAACACGGCTCTGTGTATGTATATATACATATCTTAGTAATCTTAGTTCATGCTTTCTATGCACTCATTACTTGTCTAGTTGTCTAGTAGTATAAAGGTCTATGCTATTGCAATATTATGGCTAAGCCACAAACAGGCGTATAATAGAATTCTACTACATATTGTCTATGGCCACGAGTCGCGGCTACAATATTCGACAACCACGGTCGGAATAGTTCAGAGAGCATTAGAGCAATGCAACTATAGGTATGGAAGCGCCGATTTCAGAATTTCAAATAGATACGTTTAATGTTTACCCTAAGCGGCCTAAGCCCTAGGAATACTTAATATATATGTCTAGACGACTACGGCGACGACAACAAAATAGCTTAGCATGAACCTCTTTATACACTTTTAATTTTAATCCTTTACCAATTATCATTTATCACTATTCTATAACCTAAAGGTAGGACGTATGCCTTCAATTTAAACTACCAAGTTTTTTAGTTATAGATTCGAATTTTAGACGCATAAAACAAATTTAAGGAATCCTCGGAAATCAAGGTAAGTAGGTATACATAAAATAATGTGATACTACCTAGTACCTAAGTGCCCGAGTGGGTATTATATTATTAGGTTGGTAATACAAATTATAATTTCAATTATAATATTATATAATAAAGTACTTACAAACACGTCTTATGGAACTACAAAATAAAAATAATATACACTTGTACAATTTAAATTATATAGTCACACGACTTTTAGCATTGGTTTTAAATATTATATAAATAGTAGTTATTCATAATAGTATTTATAATTAATGGTAATAATTTATTGCCAAATACCTACAGTAATTTTTTTAGAAGTTAAAACTATTAAAAAAGAGAAGGGGATTAATTAAACTAACACTTTATTTTATATCAAAATATTCAAATTGATTAAACATAATATATTAGAAAAATGTATAACACCTTATTAGTCCTTATACAGTTATACTTTTGCCCAATACTTTTACTCAATTTGAATGTTTGGATTTCAAATGAGAAATATCAAAATATAATATGAATAAAAAGTGGTTGCCAGTGGTTGGATAATTTTGGTTTGTCTAATTTGTAGGTAGGTGCCAGTGGCGTGCTCAGCTTTTTTAAAAGGGGGAGGGATATGAAATTTTGAATATTCTCAAATCATGTTATATGCTTACACATTCATTGCTTTATCGTGTATTTTATGTAACAAAAATAAGCAGTCGGATGTTAAAATGCTAATTAATAAGAGTTAAGACACAAACACTAACTACCAGAAACTATAAGGTACCTATCCGGACAAGGACTGAGAATTGTGATGACTTCAATGCTTCAGTAATAGTTTCTTATTGTCTGCTCGAAATTAGTGTTGTGTGAGAGGTGAGAATACCACACAGACACAAAATTCAAAATGAAATGTACAGTGTAGATTAGACTTTATTAGAATGGAACTAATAATTAATATGATTTCAGGTATCAGAATAGGGTTGCACGCCCACCTACAATTAAAGCAATGAACAAAATAACGCAATTTTATTTATGACACAGAACTCATCAATTGTCCTGTGTCAGCTAATAATGTAACTTGTATACAGATATAAATGTAAATAACTGTATGATTGTATCGGCTAATAACCCAGTTGACAAAATTATGTATGTAGAAATAAAAAAATTTGTTAAATATATGTTACTTGTAACAGTGAGTGTTGACACCCTTTCAATGCTTAATTATAGGTATCTAATAGTTAATATTGTGAAATGTCATCAGATTATGCAAAATTATAAGTATTTTCAAAAAAAAAAATGTAATTATGAATTTTTATTTAAAACAATTATGAAAGAATAATGGTAAATTGTCAGTAGGTATACCTACCATAAGAAAATTGATTTTGCTTATAAAATGTTAAAATATTTCAAAATTATTTGAAAACTAATATCATTGATTTTAAATTATAGTATAATATTCAAAAAATATTACCTTAAACAAGAAAACTTACTAATAAGTTATTATTCTAGAGTATAAATAATATCATTACTTCCGGTTATAAAACAGGTTATTATGTATTACTGTCATTTTTTTAGGTACAATTTTCACTATAAATTAGAAAATATAATATGTCATAATTTTATTTGAGTATTCATTAAATTATACTGTTCACTTTTAAGCTAATATTATTTTAAATTGTATTATACATGTTAATTACTACCATTATTTTAGTTGATAGTTTACAATATCTAAATATTGTTAAGAAAAAAATATAGAAATCAAATGGCTCAGACATCAATGATATAACCTTCCATAAAAATAACACCGCGGGGTGTCAAATTTTAGTAAGTTTAAGTAATAAAATTACAGATCTTAACACCTACAAAAGTTGTTAAAACTAAAAGATTGACATTTAAAGTTTTACAGATGGTTTGTATACTTCTACTATTAAACCTTATTCTTCAACAATACAAGATAAGCTATGAAAATATATTAAATGCCAAATAATTAAATAATTAAAAATATTTTTTAAAAATCAGCAAATAGTTTACTAAAAATGTATATATATTTATCAATCATAACTGTAACAAAATTTAGGTAAATATAATATAGTTCAGTCTACATTTTTATACACATCCATTTATCAGGTGATGAATCAGGTTTTGACCAGGAACCAGGTTCTTTGAATTCCTGGTAAGGCATATGCCATGTACCATTTGCAGATTCTTGAGTTGCTTGTAAGTATGTTATAGGTTCCTAAGACGATAAATTATATTTTATTGCAATTTTTAAACAACCAAATAACATGTATGTATTAGATTGAACACAAAAATAAACATGTTATTGCACATAAACTTACTTTTATGATAACTTCATCTCCTGCACGTATTTTTAATCTTAATCTATGTTTTTGTAACCATTTTTGAAATATACTTCTAATGATAACATCACCTAACAAAAATTTGTGACCACGCATAAGATCTCTGGTAAGAATTTGTGTATTTATACCACTATACATTGCAGCATATAGAACAAATGGATCGTCTTTAGACCTAAACAAAATAAATTAGACACCATAAATATATTATAATTATATTTATATTTGAGAATGTTATACCGGCGTGTGTTGTCGCCGTCTTACATTTGCATAAAATAGTAAATTTTATGCCAAGTTGATCATATTTAGCTCTGTAAACTTAAAAATAAGAGTGAATTGACCTCATATAAATAATAAAGGTAAGATTATCATTTAGTGCATATCATGGGCTTTTTATTTTATTTTCATTTGAAAGCGAGTTATGAGTATTTTAAAATGAACAAATAATTTACAATTTTAAAATACTTAAAACTCGCTTTAAAATAAAAATATAATAAAAAGCTTATGAGATGTCCTAGATAATAATCTTAACTTAAATTTTTATAAGATGTCAATTCACTCTAATTTTTACATAATGGAGCTAAACCTGATCTGCTGAGCTTAAAATTAGTTATGTTACGCACTTGTAAGACGGAGATAACACATGCGGGTATAATGTTCTCTTAAGGTAGTTTAATTGTTTTCTTACAGATCATTTGTAAAAAAAATATGAGAATTTTTTTTTATAAAATCAAATTCCTTTCCTAACATCTTAACTAGATGTTTTCTGCCAATTAATAATACTTTTAGTTTCTTTTCAATAAAATTCTTCATAACAATTTTGGTCTAAACAAAAAAATATTTGCAATAATTAATAATAATCACCTAACAGTTTACGGATACATTATGTCTCAAAAGCCTCGATCCATTTTAAGTATTTCTACATGCAATCATTTTATTTAAATACTACATTTTCAACAGTAACCTATTTTATTACAACAGTTCTGATTTTAATGGCAAATGCTTAAAAGATAAATAAAACAAAACATTTTTAAAATAGCATTTTTCAAAAAAATTTAAAAAAATTATAATTATAAGTGAAAATAATTGCATAATAATTGTGTTTATGTAAACTAATTGAGTAAAAGAGTATGTACAATTGTTAGAATTTGTAAAAAGAATAGTAGTAGAAATAGCAAAAAACAAAAATACATCATACTTATATAAATCAATCTTGATTGTAATAAACATTATTTGTTATAAACTATAGTCATAGATCTACCTTTTTGGAGTTAAAGTGAACTTTAAAATTAATTTCATTAATCAAAGCCTATAGTTTGTCTTTCTTAATTCCAAAAAATATTTCTACATTTTATCAATAAAAAATATTATTTTTAAGCTAATGTTTATTATTTTAACTCAAAAAATCAAAATTTTACCTGATTTAACTTAATCAATTTTTTTTATCATTATAATATGTAAAATAAAATAAAACAATTACCTAATTAATAAAAAAAAGAGAATTCCATGAAACAATTGAAATATGTCATTAAATCATAATTTACTTATAGATTAGTACTGAAATACGTGCATATCTTCATATAAATATACATATATATGCCTTCTAAAAAATAGTTTTCTCCCCCCCCCCCCGCCCCCAGTGTATCCTAACGCACATCCTGCATTACTCCATTTGCACGCCTATGATACTAGGATTATATTGTGAATAGAAATTCTTACTATTTAAGTTCTTATACTCATAATTGCTTCTGGTAGAGGTATTGCGGGTACGGTGTCTTAACTAAGAAGTACCAGAAAACAATATTTTTATGTCTCATGATACACTTCTTAAATTATTTAACTTCTGTTTCTCACTGTATATTTAATATTTAACGTCATTAATATACTAATGAATACTATACAATTGCACCAAAGTATACTTACTAAAGAATGATCACCAATCTTTCCTCTATATGCATATGCCAAGTTTAATCCATCGACAACCACGTCATATGGTGCAGTGATTTCTATGAAATCTCTAAAATCGTCCAACTCTTGAGGAGAAGAGTTGTTGAATATATTTTTTCCGATCATTACATTTGATAAAAAACGTTCTTGAAGCATCTTAAAATCTGAATCTGTGACTTCAGCATGTTCCAACACTTGATTACAATTCTTACATTTTCCACTAAGAAAATAAATTATTTAAAAATATTATTTTATATATCCAACGCTACTATAAAACTTACTTATTATGATAAATCATGGAAGTAGTAGTTTTAATGCCAGATTGCTTTAAATTGTTACGAATTAGTTCTGCTAAATCTTCCCTGATAATATACTCATTATCTCTTAAAAATTCTAATACTCTACGATGGCTATAATTTGCATTTTTTTTACAAAGATTAAACCATGCTGCAACTATTTCTAATGGTAATATTCTATGTCGATTAAACATATTTTGTACTAAAGTCCATCCTAAATCAATTTCTGCTTCTTCAAAAGCTCTTAAAATTATACAAACTAATGTATTCACTGTTATGTCATCTTCAATTTTTGATGCTTTTATGAATTTTAAGGAATCTCGCCATAAAGGTGTACAACAAATTCCCATTACTATACCTAAAATAACAAAATAAGATGGTTAATAAAAAAAAATATCAATACTTGTATATTGTCATACTACCTTCAAGAAGAACGGAATTCAATAAATGTAAATTATTTTTAAACAGAGACTGACAAGAAGTCTGAATTTCATTTTGGTCATTATCAGTCAATTCATTCCTCGACTTATAACATGATCGAATGTATAATAGTTCCAATGCCATATTAGGTTTACCTCGACTACATTGTTTCACATACTTCATAAATGATTTGATTAAGTCCAAACGTTTTTGTTGTGAGCATGTCTCTAATATGCATCCATTAATGTTTTTTTCATTTATATAACCACGATTTATGGACAAAACAGACGATTTCAACGCATCCCAATCAAGTGTTGTTGAACTTGATTTAATAACAAATTCTGTAATAATACGCTTTTGTTCTTCGCTCGCAAACTTACCTTTCACTTTGCGAGGTGCAATTTTATCTGGAGTAACAACCGACATTAACCTCTGAGTATAAATACTAGTCTGTCTTGGACCTAATAACTTAGGCAAATTCCAATGCAGATGTTTTCTTAATAACGAGCACATTTTGAAATACAATTTATGCATACAAAAAACGAATAAAATTGAAAGGTAGTAGCTAAATACGTGTTAAATAAATGGTATTAGTAAAATAATAAAATAGATATAATTTACATGATAATAAAGAGAACAGTGATATTAATAATCATTCAATACATTACTGAACTTGAGTTTACTTCAAGATTTTAGATGCTACCTTAAATCGTGGTTTACTTCACAAATTCAGAATTTTAAAAAAAACGTGATTTCGATTTTTATAATAACAGTGATAGGTGAATAATGATAACGATAACAGTAATCTATAATGATCACGTCATGAACATTAATATCTTAGATCATATTATACGATATACTATAGTATATACTAGTTCTTTTATCATGATCTAAACATAATATAGATCTATATATTATGTCTATCGATTCATCTACTATTTAAAATTAAATTACCTAAATTAGTTAAAAATGTAAAAACGTTATGCCACTTTGCAATATTGTGTATATATATTGCCATTTCGGTTATGATTAAATATTATTAAATAATATTTTTAACTATATTAATATATGCATACACAAGCAGCTTCTGGTGGTACCTTGTACGTTTGGAACTCATATACAAGACGTTTATGATCTAAGGTTTGAAAGTTAGGTCCCGGACGGCCGACGAATGGATCTTCGCAGGAAAAAATTGTTTGTGTCCGTATATAATATTGCATACATTTAGCCCCTTTTTTGCGGTTTTCAAAATTTGATAACATTGATAAACTGATAACATCATTTTCATTATAAATTATAAATTATAATATTATATTTTATTATATTAATTATAATTAAAATAGTTAAATACATTAGTATTTAGTAGTTAATAAGTTATTAAAAAACACAATATCGTAATTTACAATTTAAAAATACACAATTCATTGAGAATACAGTATAAATGTAAAAAATAATGTTATTTAAATAACATAACTATTCAACTAACATAATATTATTCTATAGATATTATAATAAAATTATTTTTTATGTATGGTAATAATAATATTATTTAACAAATATAATAATCAAGCTATTATAATAAAGAAAGTATATTATTATAATTATTATGAATCTTGAACATAATTTAATAC